TCATTTCACTTGTTTGTCAGTGAAACACTATTTATTATTGGAAAACTTTACAAATAGCCACGAAACATTGTGTGATACAGTGCCCAAAAACAAGCCCCTCAGGTCTGAAGGAACTCAAAATGCAACTGTGGAAGAACTGCCTCCTCAAAGTAGAGTCGACCTTAGTGATGTGGATGGAGCAAAGATTTCATCACCTTCATTTGCTAATGGGACATGACTCAAAATGTGAAGTAGCAGCTGCAATTATCCATTAATAATCAGAACACAAACTGTACAAATTATGAATCTAGGACAGTAAGGTATCAAAAATGAAATGGGATGCATAAAGACATCCCAGGTATTAATGTGCTGAAATCGACTGGCATTGGCCATTTTGAATCAGAAAACCATATGGTCTACTATGCTGGGAATGAAAAATTGAAGAGGAATGGCATCACATTCATCATCAAAAAGAATGTATCAAGATCCGTCCTGAAGTACAAAGCTGTTAGTCATAGGGTAATATCCACACACCTACAGGGAAGACTAGGTACTACTACTATCATTCACATTTACACACCAACCACTAAAACCAAAGATGAACAAATTGAAGATTTTTACCAACTTCTGCAGTCTGAAATTTACCAAAGATGCAGTCATGTTTATTATCGATTATTACTGGTGATTGGAATGTGAAAGTTGGAAACAAAGAAGAATCATCGATAGTTGGAAAACATGGCCTTGGTGATAGAAAAGACACTGGAGATGACATGACAGAATTTTGCGAGACCGATGACATATTCATTGCAGGCACCTCTTTGGATGCCACATCCTAAAAGGCAACTATACACATAGGCCAGATGGAATAAACAGGAATCAGATCAAATACATTTGTGCAAAGAGGCCATGGAGAAGCTCAGTATCTTCAGTCAAAGCAAGGCCAGGAGCTGCGTGTGGAACAGACCATCAATTGCTCATATGCAAGTTCAAGTTGAAGCTGAAGACTAGTAAAACAAGTCCATGAGAGCCAAAATATGATCTTGATTATATCCCACCTATATTTATAGATCATCTAAAAAACAGATTTGATGCATTGAACACCAATGACCAAAGACCAGATGAGTTGTGGGATGACATCAAGAACATCATATGAAGAAAGCAAAAGGTCATTAAACAGGAAAGGAAGAAAAGACCAAAATCCATGTCAGAAGAGACTGAAACTGGTTCTCAAATGTAAAGTAGCTAAAGCGAGTGGAAGAAATGACAAAATAAAAAAGCCAAATAGTAGACTTCAAAGGGCAGCTTCAGAAGAAGACAAAGTATTTTAATGAGATGTGCGGAGACCTGGAGTTAGAAAACCAAAAGGAAAGGACATACTCAGCCTTTCTCAAGCTGAAAGAACTGAAGAAAAATTCAAGCCTCAAGGTGCAGTACTGAAGGATTCAATGGGCAAAATACTGAATGATGTATAGGAAGCATAAAAATGATATGGAAGGAATAGAGAGTCCCTGTCCCAAAAAGAACTGGCCAATGTTCAACTATTTCAGGAGGTAGCATATGATCAAGAACCAATGGTATTGAAAAAAGTCCAAGGTGCACCGAAGGCACTGGCAAAAACAAGGCTCAAAGAAGTGATGGGATGCCTGCTGAGACGTTTCAACAAATGGATGCGGCACTGAAGGTGTTGTTTATGCCAAGAAATTTGGAAGACAGCTACCTGGCCACCTGACTGGAAGAGATTGATATGTGTGCCCATTCCAAGGAAAGGTGATCCAACAGAATGTGCAAATTATCAAACAGTATAATTAATATCACACGAAAGCAAAATTTTGCTGAAGATAATTCAAAAACGGTTGCAGTAGTGTATTGACAGGGAACATCCAACAATTCAAGTTGGATTCAGAGGAGGATATGGAAGAGGGATATCACTGTTGATGTGAGATAGATCTTGGCTGAAAGCAAATACCAGAAAGATATTCACCTGTGTTATTGACTATGCAAAGGCATTTGGCTGTGTGGATCATAACAAATTATGGATAACATTATGAAGAATGGGAATTTCAGAACACGTTATGGTGCTCATGACGGACTTGTACATACACCAAGAGGCCACTGTTCCAACTGAGCAAGATACCGCAGAATAACTTCACAATCCTACCTCAGAGGTTTATCAGCTCTCCAGCATTATGTCTTAATTTAGTGTACAGAAGCCTTGATCACTTTTCCCTTCCACAAGATGTCACATTGGTCCATTACGTTGCTGACATTATTGTGACTGGATCTAGTAAGAAGAAGTATCAATAATTCTCGACTTATTAAGACCATCGCATGCTAGAGGATGGGAAATTAGTCTGACAAAAAATCGGATGCCTTCCATCTCAATGAAATTTGTAGGGGTCTAGTGATGTGAGGCATGTGAATACATTCCCTTAAAATTAAAGTTATTGCATCTGGCCCCACCCACAACTAAAAAGGAGGTCCAATGCCTACGTGGCTCCTGAAGTCTGAATGCAACATATCCCTCATTTGTGTTGGCTACCCAGGCCTATTTATAAAGTGACTAAAAAAAAACTGCTAGTTTTGAATGGGGCCAAGAACAAAAAAATGCTTTGCAACATGTTCAGGCTACTGTACAAAGATTCTGATTATAGTCTCTGGCAAACCCCCTACCGATGATAGATCCTTAGGATTTTAGGTAAGAGCCCTGACATCCTCTGCATGTAAGTATTCTCCTTTTGAGAAACAGGTTTTGGCTTGTTACTGGGTCTTAGTAGAAACTGAATACTTAATATGGGCCACCAAGTCATATGCAACCTGAACTGCCCATCATGACTCTGACCCAATCATAAAGTTGGAAATGCACAGTAGCACTCCATCATTAAATGAAAGTGGTATGTAAGAGATCAGGCTTGAGCATGACCTGAAGGACGTGATATGAGGAAGAGGCCTAAATGCCTATAGATTCCACTACAGTCACATTACCTTCCCTCTCCCAGTCCATACCTATGGCCTCATGGGGAGTCAGTTGACTGAGGAAGAGAAAACTTGTGCCTGTTTTACAGATGGTTCTGTGCAATAATATGCAGACACTGCTCAAAAGTGGACAGCAGCAGTACTGCAGACCCTTTCTGGGACCTCCTTGAAGGACAGTAGTGAAAGGAAATCTTCCCATTGGGCAGAGGATCGGAGTAGTATACCCGGTTGTTCACTTTTCTCGGAAGGAGAAATGGCCAGATATGTGATTGTATATTGTTTCATGGGCTGTGGGACTTGGAGTGAACAATGATTGGAAAACTGGTGGCAAAAAGGTATATGGATAGGCCTCTATGAACAGCACAGAGAAGTGAAGATATTGTGTCCCATGTGAATGCTCACCAAAGAGTGACCTTGGCAGAGAAAGCTTTTAAGTCATTTAACTTTAGAAGGATTCTAAGTGGTTTAGCAGTCATGATGTAGTCATCCCCATGAAATCTGCTGTGAGCAGCTAATCTACCCAAAGGGCGTTTCCTCATGGGTGCAGACTTAGGGACGTTATAGCAAAGCTCTCTGGGTTTCGGCTCAATTTGAATCCTGCATCTGGCTCATCACCATCTGACTTTGGATCCTGGACTTGAATCAGCGGCCTGCCTTATTGCCTACTGATTTTGGGATTTCTGCCTTTGCAGCCTGTGAGCCAACAGCCTGCCATCTTACTTGCTAATCCTGGGTTCATCAGCCCCTGCATCTATGAATTAGAAGCCTGCAGTCTGACATCTGATCCACAGAGTTTGGACTTGCCAGCCTCTCTAATGTGTATACACACACCCACACCCACAGTGAGATGAAAAAATTACCTCAAGAAAATAGCTCATGCAGTTCTGTCTTAGGCTGGGTTTTCCAGATAAGTCAAACCAGTGAAGCACATGGTTTTACATCTCTGGAGAACACAGCCTAAGATACATATAGATACGTGATCGTACCAGCAGCTTCCCTGGGAGGTGTGCCTTGGTCCCCTGAAGTGCAATCTCTATCAGATATTAAATGTCTAAAACCACAAGGGACTTGTTCAGGGTTCTCTCTTCAGTCCCATCCGTCTGTGTATTCATCTCATTGCCAATTTTGTCTTGATTACTCTAGCTTGATCGTATGTACTGGTATTTGGTAGAGGAAGTCCTTTTACCATATAGATCTGTTAGGTGATCCTTGGGGCTGTTCTTTCACCTTTATGTTTCCAAGTACATTTTAGAAATAACTTATCAATTCTTTTTCTAAAAAACCACTTTTGAGTCTGACAGGATGACACAGAATCTACACATTATTTTGTATTGAGTTGACTTTTCTACATGTCATCTTTAAATATGTTTACTATTGATTTTTAAAGTTTACCTGTTATCAAGTGTACCATTTATCTATCTCTGCTCCAAGTACACGTGTTTTGCCAGCTCTGTGAAAATGGGTCTAGGCCCTTTAGTATTTTCTTTGCCAACTGATACAATGTTAACCTCATCAGTAGAAAACTGTAGAGAACCTGCATGGGGTTAAAGCAGCTTTCACCCATGTATGGTTTACAGTTTGTTCTCAAGCCTTTCCTGAGCACCTGCTGTGCACCTTCAGCTGGGGGCAATGAGCAGAGCTAGGCCAAGACTTCACCTAGGCTCTGAGTTAGAGGGGGGACCCTGGACTTGACCCCTACCTATATCCCCCAGTAGACTCAGCCAAGGCAGATAGTATGAAAATAACATCTTTATTTCCTGTGACCCTGTGGAATAAGGTCGGATGGGGAGGAGGTGGTGCAGGGGTCCATGGGGAGGTCCATAGACTTGTGTTTGGCCCTAGTTATTGGACTGCTCCAGATCTTTCTCCTCATGGGCCTGAAGAAGCTTGGCACTGGTCCATAGGAGGCACTGTGCCTAGGAGGAATGAGGGGCCTTGGTGTGCAGTAGAACTCAACAAGCACCCAAGCCCACCCCCTCGGGTCTTTCCCCATCTTTCCACCACTGCCTCGATCACAGCTGTAGCCTCTACTGAGAATGCCCTTCCCATCAGCCCCCTCCCTGCTTTCGAACCTCCTCCCACCTCCCTAATCCCTGGTTCTCCACCTCTCCAGGGATGGCCCCTTCCTCCCGGACCTTGTGGGCTTGGGCCAGAACCGCTACTCCACGCTTTTCCAGTTCCTCCTTCAGTCTGGACAGGAAGTGGAGTAGGAAGGAGAGACAAGAGGGTATGAAGCCGCAAGGATGAGGAGACACCCAGATGCCCACCCCGAGGCTAGGGGTTCTGTGCCCACCTCTGGCACTTCTCCTGCAGCTGCTGGCACTTCTCCTGCAGCTGCTGCTGGCGCTGGGCCG